TTTGTTATTTTATATAAAAAAAAAAAAAAACTTAAATATATAAAAAGAAAATTCTACGAATAATTCTATTTTGAAATCATTAAATAATTTTTGTTTTTATTTTTAATACATATCAAAACAACTATTCAATTATTTATAAATATTTATTTCTTGAATTCAAATATTGATTTTTTTTTTGCATCACTTGTGTTTGATTGGATGCTTTTTTTTAATAAATAATTTATCGTAATATAAGTAATTTGGTTGGGGTAGTTGCCCCAATTTCATATATGGAGATCCGTGTTTGGTTGCAATATGATTTATAATCAACTTAAATCTTAGAGTTAGGTATCTCTTTGTCTTTTTTTTATCTTCTTCTTTTTATTTCATTCGTTCTTTTATATTGGGTACTAAAGATTATTCTTTTTTTTACCATTTTTTTTTCTTTCTCATCATTTTAATTGGCGTATGAGTTTAAAACTTTTAAGGGAGTCGCCAATTGAGATGGAGACAGCCTTGAAAGTGAATTTGTTTCTATAAATAGAGGTTATGAGGTGTCTCTAATCTAATTGGCGACTGAGTTTAAAACTTACAAGGGAGTCGCCAATTGAGACAGAGACAACCTTGAAAATGATTTTTTTTATATATAAATAGATGTGTTCTGATCATTTGGTTCCACAACTCATCTCATATCTTTGTTCCATTGATAACATGTATCATCGCAGGTGGGGAAAAATGGTCTATTCGAGAGAGAAGCCTCCGATGGACATGCTGTTTTTGAACATTCAAAGTTTCAATCAACTTAAGAGGGAACTGAATCAATGGTTAGAAGAAGACATTGGTGAAGGGGAAAAAATTTGAAGTATCGAGAGACTTGATCGCCTGCAGGGATGGGTTTGCATTAAGATTGACAAAGATGTGAGAGAAGTCATGTTTGGACCGAATGAAATTAGTTTGATTGTTGTAATCAGTTAGAAATGTTTTATGTTTCTTTTCCGTTATTTTTTTATGTGTTGTCTGTTGTTAGTTCGAGGCATGTGTTGCTTGTTGTTAACATTGTTGTAACAAAGACTCATTAATATATGAAAATATTAGGTTACTACAATTGAAAGGATAAATTAAATCATGATGCAGAGATTGCTCCGACATTGGGACAATTTTTTCCGTTGTGTCCGGGCTAACAATATATACTGCATAATCTTATAATTTTATCAGTCGTATCCTTTTCGATTTGATATATTATTTGTGATATAGGACTAAACCCTAATTTCGATTCCAATATTTCTTTGAAATGCAAGAAACTTGTGTTTCTATTGATTGTAAACCGGACGACATCGGTGTTTTGAAAACCAAACCCAATGTCATCAGAGACATATGTCTCTCCGTTGTAGTGGGCATTAACAAAGTATCTCAATGCAAATGACATAATATTATTCACTTGTTAGAGACTTGCTATTTTTGGTTGCATCAGATGAAAATGCATGGGAGCATATAAATATGCATGAGAGCATTTAATGAGGTCGCCATATGAATTGGCGACAAGGTACAAGATTAGAAAGGGAGTCGCTAACTCACATGCAAATAAGGTGCAGTCTGAGCACACAGTGTCGTCATGTGAGTGTCAGACTATTATGCATGCATGAGACAACTTCAGGCTACATGCACATCTAGGTTTAGGTTCCCAGAAGTCTCCAAATGGACTGGCGACCCTTTATAAGGAGTAAACACAGACACCAATTCACGTGACGACACCATGCATCATGTATTCTTCACATGTGACTCCTATAATGCTATATAAGGAAGCTAGAGATATGAAATGATACATCATTTGAGCCATTGTTGCAGAGAAACATTAAATCAGAAATATTTTATCAAGCCTAAAGTATCACAAATATTAAATCAATTATAATGCATTTGTTAACAATGGGTGAAACGCATAAAGGCACAATCGCAAATATCGAGAACTATGTAAGTGTTATTTTCTTTATTGAAAAGGTGTTATTTTCTTTAATGTCTCTGTTAATTTTTTTTTCTAAATTGACAATGTGTTATTTTCTTTAATGTCTCTGTTAATATTTTTTTCTAAATTGACAATTATGTTGGAAGTCTTTAGGTTTCGTCCTCGTGCCCATCAATATGTTACCCCGACGAATTAATTAAACCATATATTGAGCTTGCCGATTTCAGACATGTAAGCAAAATCATGTCTTAGTCAGTTGATGCAAAGTTTATACTAACTTTGTAAGAGAGATGGTGCCTAGAGACACACACTTTCTTTTTTCAACAGGTGAATGTACCGTGACGTTAGAGGATGTGTACATGTTACTTAGTTTACGTATTAATGGCAAGACGGTCAATGGACCAACAAACCTTGATGGTTCAATTTGTGAGGAACTTTTGGATGCCGACTTGCTAGATGAGAACTCAAGAGGCAAAGGTATATTACTTCCGCGTCTTAAATTATGGTACATCGGTTTTATATTAGATCAAGATTCTAAAGAATAAATGAAAATAATTAAAATCAGGTGTTATCTTATGCTTTTAATTGGTTTATTTTTATTTTTCGAAGGCACTTGTTATTCTATGCACATTATGTATTTAGCCTTACTGAGAAACCTAGATAAAACAAGAGAGTATAGTTGGGGTTCCGCTTGTCTATCTTATTTGTATAGCTCTCTACGTAAGTTTGCAAAAGAAACACATCTACTTTTTCTGGATGCGCCGTTTTGCTCCAAGCTTGGGGTTAGTCTAGATTGCCATCCCTAGCGCCCGTCAGCCACAACAACTTTTCCTTCCTTTATGCGCAAAAGTATGTTACTAACTTAATCTTAGTTTATTTCACCTTACTAATTATTGTGTCTAACTAATTGAATTTGAACTTTTTGTTGTTTAGATGGTCGACTAAGGGTATGACTTACAATAGATTTCCTAGACATTGTATCATTCAATACTGCAATTTGTTGGTCACCTAACATCTGGAGATGTAAGGCCTCTAAACAAATCAATTTATTTTTTACATCAATAATTTTATGATCTAATATTTTTCTCTTCTTCAGTTCATTTGGCGTCCATATCTAAACATGGAACACCTACATGAAGTCAGAGAGAACGATGTTGTCGTTTGGATTGCTTGCATGCCGATCATCAAATTCACCACTATGGAGATGCATAACAGTTACTGTGTCAAACTACAACTTATAATGCATCAAAACATCTTAGATTCCCCTGTTGACCTCGGTAAATGACATCTCAAAAGAGTTAATGATCAATAGGACTATCCCGACTGGAAGGATTTTGCAAAATCTGAGTGTCGTAAATGAAGGAACCGCAGTGCCCATGCCTTACGTGACCCGGTGATGGCAACCTCGTTTATACCAACTAATAATTATATGGCTTGGTACATATCGGTTGCAACTGAGTTTGTCTTCGAAGAGAGGTATCTAAACGACCCACGACAAACCACATACACACAAGAAGCTTCAACGTCTAACCCACCGGGAAATTATCGACCATGTTACTCACGACCCCCTACCCAACAGAATTACCAATCCACTAACACACAAATCCACCATACAAACATGCCAAACACCCAACGATAATACCAAGAACGTCCCCCATACCATCTCTAACAAAGTGACTATTGTCAAGAAACCCAATATAGTTATGCCCCCAACACAACATCAAGATATAGCAAAAATGAGGATACATCATACCATAGCCATAATGCCCAAACATCTTTCCATGGCCAAAACGCTCAAACATGATACCCTAGCCTACACACACAAACATCCCAACAACCTTATGACTTTCAAACACCACTACCATTTCAACCTTTCACCAACGAATCCTTCACACCAATGTCCCCCTTCATTCGTCCAGGCCGCACACCAATGACCCCTTCATCACATTTGAGCTACTCTGGCATGCGTCGCACACTCAATTTCAACACACAAGACCTCATGGAAATGCAAGAATTTCTTAGGGAATAAGCTGAGGATGTTTCTGAGATTTCAACTCCTCAAACACCTGTAGTGAATCAACAATGAGGGGACGAGTGCAACGAGTGAGGGTGCCTAAGGGATGTGAAACCGGTGGCCGGTATGATCAAACTGGTCGCCAATATTAAACCGATCGCCAATATTAATTTATCTAATATTATTTTTACTTAATGATGATGTAATATTATTTTTAATTAATGAGTAATGTTATTTATTTTTCTTAAATATTTTTACAAAATGCACTCTGCCTCCATATCGATTGGCGTCCCCCTTTTACTATTAACACCCAATCGCCAATTGAATTGGCAGCACCATAAGGTGTCTCTAATCTAATTGACCACACCCCTAAAGCTCATAATGCTGTCGCCAATTCATCTAAAGACAACTCTCTATGACACCTTTAAAGTGGAATATTTTGAGAAATAATTTGAAATGTAAAATATTTTAAGATTTTTTTTGAAAAATTGAATTATTCTAGTAAAAACTTCATTACTTCTCATGTTCACTTTAAATATAGAAGTCAAGTTACATTTTTTAAACTAAAACATTATATTTTAAAATAAAGGATTAGTTTACTAAAAATAGTAATAAATGTTAAAAAGATAAAGGTACAGCCAAACATAATATTTATTTATTACAAATGATTTTACAAATAAATCCTTTATTATAACTAAATATTTTTATTAATAATTCAAAACTATAACTTCCTTGTATCATATCAATATTTTAGTATATATTTGATTTATCGGAATACACTAATAGTATGAAAGTGCATATTCCATTTTATTAATCATGAAGAAAATCCACTTACAAATTTTAATAAAGATAGCTAATTTACAAAACTACCCATCATTTGTTTAGAAAGATTCCTTTCTTATTTGCTTTGGAATTTCGAGAAATTAATAATTGCCACCGTATTCAACGAAACGACGTGGTTAGGTCGCGTTTAATACCCCGCCTTTTGCCTAAACATTCAAATCACAGTGAAACAGAGTTTCTGAATTCCATTTTTCTTCGACGACGATGTTGAACAAAACGACACCAATTTCCTTCAATCACGATAATCAACTCGATGTTCATTCCTCCCTCACTCTCCTCCACTCCGATCTTTCCTCTACCTTCCATCAGGTATCTTCTCCTCTTTTTGTTCATGTTTTTTTTCCGATTTTATTTTATTCTTTTCATTTTTGATTTTGAAGGGATGAATACAGTGTTATCAACTTATGCTAATATCAGTATTGTAATTTTGGTGAAAAATCCGTAGTTTAAATCTTAGTTTTTAATGATTTTGTAGAAAAAAAAACATGTTTTTGAATGAAAAATGAATACTCACAATTCGGATTTGAATGTTAGATTGATGAGCTTGTTGTGAAAGCGCTTGAAGTGAAGAAGGGTGTAAGCAAAGAGGGGAAAAGAGAAATGGAATCGTTCTCCAATTTGTTGTCTGAAATGTTGTCTAGTTTGAAGGTAAAAACCCTAAATTTAGTTTTCCACGGCTAAATGAGTAGTTGTAGTTTCTGAATTCATTAATTTTGTAAAAAATATCTGTTTTTGTTTGTAATTTTGTGGATTAAACGGATTAATAAAAGACACATTTAAGGGTCAAATTGATTCATAAAGACCTTTGTAACACCGACACCTATGACAAAATGTGTGTCATTGTAACCAAGCACTTGGGCTCGAGTGGTAAACGAACTTCTGCTAAGGAACAAATGTTTGGGGAATATCGAGTTCGATTCCTGGTCAGGTCGAACTCTGGATTACTAGGTCCCCTTTCCCCTAAGAACCAGAGGGTGAAAACCTAAAAAGAATGTGCGTCATTGTCGGTGTTCGAAATCGACACCAACACTTATGATTATGTTTAACTCTTTATGTTAATTCCTTAGTATTCTATTTTTAAATTTTTGCCATGTTGAGACTTTTGTTGTTGTTATCAAATGCAGCCATGGATACCCAAATTACAAACTTCACTTTCATCAACTTCAGTGGAATCTGAAAGTAAAAGTGAAGAAGTTTCTTGTGATGAAAGCAATGTGAGTGACTGTGAAAGTCCTAAAGTGACTGCATTAGTATCTCCTTCTCCTCTTGTTTCATGGCATGCTAATTGCACAGTTCAAAGAGGTAGACAAATGTTTATGCTCACACCAGTACCATTATCAAAATCATACTGCCAACCACAACCCGAATTAGATTTCACTGAATTGGCTTCCTCTAGTAATACTTCAATACTTTACGGTGTTTTAACGAAACCAACTCCAATAAAGCCTGCCCTTTCTATTGTGAGTGAAGATGCAACAAATACTGAAGAGGTTGAGTTGATTTCTTCGCCCGAATTTTCTCAGAGAGACACTTCCATGCTTTATATGATGACTCCTTGTTTAAAAATTTCACCTCCGAAGACTTGTGTTTTGCTTGAATCCATACCTGAGATGCGTCATGTTGGTGGTAATAAACAGTTTCGAAAGTCCACTCCGTATCCTGTCGGAGTTCATTACAGTGATTCAGAAGATTCTGCTTTGGATCATGTGTCGCAGGATTTGGTGTTGAAATATCCAGAACTAATGGCGATACGGCGTGTTCCTAAGTCGGGAATTGGAAAGAAAAATGTGGAAGCATCGCCTATTTGGCTTACCTCACCTCCAAAAACTTGTGTTGTGTTAGGAACATCTGATGAGAAATTATATGAGTTGGAGAAGGGTGATAATGATTCATGTATAGATATATCCGAATCCATTCTTAATCAACAAGTCAGTAAATTGAATTTGAAAGAAGAAATTTCCAAAGGTCATAATCAAGCCAAGAAATCTTGTAAAGGTAGTGGTTAACTTAATAACTTGTTATATATGCCTTACAGATTGTTGGATTAACATCATTACATGGGTTGCATGCTTGATAATAGCTGTTGTGTTTTTTCTTATTTGCAGATCATTTTGTTGGCGACTTATCACATATAGAGAGCACTCCCAAGTGGCTGAACCCTGAAAACACATTACAAAGAGGGAAACGTGCTGGTGAAAACACTTTGAAGAAGGAATTATGGGCAAAGTTTGAAGAAGCGTCCTCTTGTGGATTTGAGCCCAAGTTTCACACAGGTAGTAAGATGTCTCATAAAGGTTTTCTTGACCTACTGGAAGAAGCTTCCTGTGATAAGTAAATTGAAAATATGAAAAGTTAAGGATCTAAGCAAGCAAGTAATCTCTCAGTGGAAAGTTTTGACATGTACGTGCTGGTTTTTGATGTAAGATTTGTATCAAAGAGGCTGTGCATCCTATCCTAGTTCTACCACTTTGTGGACAAAATAATTCATATGAATCACCAAAGATAAGTGCTAAAAATGTACATTTTTTTTTGTCACCAGTTCTACTTTTTTGTGTATTATTAATATTCCTATTATCATTGTTAGTTATTCTCTGGCATTGTTTCAGGTATTAACAAGATATGCCAATCTTCTTATATCATTTTTTTGGATAAGTTATAAGATATACTTGGGAGTTACTTTTCTCACTTTCCACGTACACATCTAATTATAAAAAAGTTTTAAAAACTAATCCCCTCTCAAATTCATACCATGCAACATAATCATTAAAAAAATTTGGATATGTGAGGAGCATTAAATCATACAATTGATACACAAACAAAATAATAAAAGTTCAGATAATCAAAAAATGACATATATATAAATGAAGTCGGACACGATAAAGTAGAATGAAGTTAAAATAAAATACAATACATAATGAATCCAAAGTACAACTAATATATACTATTGTATATGTCAGACTACAACTCATCGGTCTCTTCGACCTCCTCTACCCCCGTCCTCCGATGTTGTCTCTGGTACATCAGTGCCTTCGTCATAATGGCATCAAGGACTTGCATCACCTCAAACCCATCAGGAAAGATACCTATGTCAATGCCTATCAACGCAATTTCGACGATGCGTCGACATCTAGGCAAGACATCATGAGCATGATCTAACTATATTTGCTCCTCCTCTAATATCTCCTGATGAGCTGACCTCGGTGGATCTCCTAGCGCAAGATGCACCATATACGAATGTCGCTATGAAGAACCACCTGATGTACCTATCGACATAGCTCTAGTCGCTCTTACCTGTGGTACTCCGTGCATCCTCCGGTACCAGATGACTAAGATAATCATCAAACATGACATTCATATCTCTCTGTGTCATAGTAAGAGGAACAGGGATGGTAGAGTGTTTGAGAATAGTCTAAGTATAGTCGAACAACCCAAGATGTGTGGAAAGTGTTGGAGGATCCAAGCCTGAAAAGTGTTGGAACACACAAATCATCAGTCAGTAAGGGTGTTGCAAAAATGTAATTAAAATGACACAAACATTAAGAAACCAATAAATATTACCGACAATAGTCTGATGCTGCTTGTGACCTGCTTTGTCTTCCACCTACAGCCCTTTAATAACTTCGAGTACAAGTATACCAAACAAGTGGCCCCCCAGTTGTACTCATGGATCCGCTCGAAGTCCTCTAAGTACTATAAGTAGAAGACATCCACATAAGTGACACTCTTGTTCACAAAAATCACACAAAATATAGTAGGTATGCTCTCATAGCATACGCTATATGGAACTCCACCTGCTCGTCATCACCTCTAACTTGCTCTGCTCTAAAGATCTCATATGTATATACCTTTATTAGGAATTCAAACCTAGCTAGAGCCCCTCTGTTTTTTCAAACTCCCTTAAGGAATCCTCTTGGTTAACTCCCAGATAGTCTACCATCATCCTGAGTGCCTCGTCTTTGCTAATCCTCCTATGATCTTGAAGTCCCCCTTGATCAGAAGGTGCAGCAAACACGACATATCGTCGAGTGTGATAGACATCTCACCAAACAAATGATTAAATGACGAGGTCTTTGTATGTCATCTCTCATCGGATGCATTAAGCATCATGTAGTCTACCGTAACATAATCGGTCATGCACAAGTCCTTCATCCCAGTTAGGGACAAAGCAGTTTGAAACCACTCCTCATTCGGCTGAGGAAAGTCAGTAATCTTCCGTCCATGGTTAATAAACTTCAGCGGATCATTGTGCTGCAGAAAAATAAATCTATGTCAGAAATTTGTAATAGAATAATAAACGTTATTTAAAAAGAATAAATCCAACTAATTTTACCTCTTCGTCCCATATATGTCTGGAAGTATGGTCTACGTACAGAGGCAGCAGTGCCAACTCTATAGGGTCTCCTCCAAATGCCTGAGGTGGCTGGTGCCTTAGGTACCATTGATGACTCTGACACCTCTCGCGCCTGAATAGGTGAAACCTGTCGCTTGCGTTAGGATGGAGGCAGTGATGCGTCAGTAGGTAAAACACGTCTCCTACGGGAAGAAAAACATGGAAAAACATGAGCCCCAGAAGATGCCTCTGCATGAACCAGACTAGAGCGAACACGAGCCTCTAAAAACTGATTGTTCTCCCTCTAGAGTGATGCATGTTGTGCAATCCTCCTATACCTCAGTTTGTCATCTTTATAAGCCATAATGCTTGTAAGTAAATCAGACAATTAGTACAAACAACCCTACAAGCAAGAAAAACAAAAAAAAAATACTAATAATTTTCGGAGATGCATCTCCAAGTACTAGTAATCCAAACGTTGAAAAATTTCAGAGATGCATCTCTAGAGCTTTCTGTAACTTTTCAGGTCCGTCAATGGCGGTAATGTAGACCACCAAACCCCAAAAATAATAGGATGATTGTTATTTTGAACCATCAAATATGTTCTACAGTATGTATAAACTATCACTCATGCGATTTCTACTCATTTCTTACCTAAATCATCAACTTCTAATAATTTATACAAAACCTCAAAAAACTTTTCAAAGCATCAAAAACTTACAAATTCAAAGGTTTACTTTAGTGTTAAATGATGTCTCTGATGTACTTTATGTTGATGGAAAAACCTTTGAACTTGCTTGATTGATTTTTAACTTGGTTGATGGAAGAACCTTTGAGAGAGCTTGAGAAAGTTGTGTTTTTTCTAGAAATGAGAAAGGAGAAGGGTTCTGGTGCGATATAGAGTCAATACCGTCCGAAGATGCATTTCTGGAGTTTTTTAACGTTAAGTCATTATTCTATTTACTCAAGGTGCGTCCGGAGATGTATCTCCGAAAACTATGAGCATTTTTGTATTTTCACATGGTGCTTAGTAATACATAGAGTGAATTAAAAAAATTCTCTAGGAGTATAGAGGAAAGTGAAAGGGACGGCATTGGGGATGAGATTTCTAAAGAAAAATAGAGAAATCCTTAACATTTTTTAAAATTGTTCTTTTGTATAGAATTATACATGAATGTTTATCACTATTATATTTTTAATTTCCAAAATAGTTAACAATATAAAATATATTTAAAAAATTCATGTAAGCCTTCTAAAATCGTCCTCAAATACAAATTTTGAGTTTCTCAAATTATGAGATTTTGGGTGTTATGAATACAAATAAACCCTCCAAAACTTTTCTAATCTAGATCCTTCGATACTTTCCACTTTAGTCTTCCCTTTTTTCAAAGCCTTCACTTCTCCACTAAACTTCCAAACAAAATTTAAGAGTATGTTTGGATAAAATAATTGAAAATTTAAAAAAAAAATTAGAATTTTAAGTAATTCAAATTATTCAACTTAAATCCATCATTTTTTAAATTATTTTGTTTGGATAAATTTTTAAAATAAATCACTGTTAGATTTCTTGGATATATTTTTTTAAAATTTTAAAGTTTTAGGTTCAAATTTAAATTTAAAAAATAGAGTAATTTACAATTCTGAAATTTTAAGGGAATGAATTATATAATGTAAAAATCATTAGAGATTAATTTGTAAAATTTGAAACATATTAAGGATTAACCTTCAATTTTATGAAAGTGTTGAAAAATATAGGGACCAACTTGCAAAATTTGAAATAATAATATCAATCAATTTGACATTCAAATTCTATGGAGTACGGAGGAATTCTAAATTCTTTGATTTTAGGTATCATTTTAAAATCATAAAATTTAACTTAGGAAAGATTTTCATAAATTTCCATCATTTTAACAATTCTTCATATTTTTTTAAATTCCCTTAAAATGTTGCATTTATTCATTAAAATAATCATCCAAACACGCTATAAAAGAATAATTGTTAGTTAGGATAATCAATCAATTTTGAGAATATTTTGTTATAAGAGAAAAGGGAGGAAAATAAATTGGCATTTAAAAAATTTGTTAGGAAACAATTAGGAGAGAATTTTCTTTGGTTTAGGAGTTAGTTCAGGTTTAGCAATTTAAAGGTTTAGTTTTCTTTGTTTTGCATTTTCACCATTTTTAGAGCTTTAAGCTTAACTATTTGTTATAAATAATACACAATCTTTATCATAATTTCTCGGGTTCCATAATTGAGCTGGCCTTTTTGTATTTGACGAGGAGAATTGGTGAATTATAATCATGAATGCCACTAAATATGACATATCTTGTAGATGCATTGGAGATGAGAACAATTATAATAGAAGATTCAATGTGACAAGCATTAAAAGAATTGTATCATAACATACTAGAACAATTTGCAAAATTGTTGAATCAAACCGTATTAAAGGCACATCGTTCACCTCAATGTGATGAAACTATGTCAAAGTTCAAGATCGATGTAAAGAAGGTTAAGATGGCGGCGTTCAACAACGAGGATCCAGTGGGGTGGATTACACGCACATAAACACATTTAGATGTGCAATATTCTTCGAAAGCACTGAAGGTTAAATTGGAAAAGCTAAGCATGAAGGGAGTCACAATAAACTAGTTCAATCTCTTAAGCAAAATATTGGAAGATCTCACTTTGTTGAAATTGAAGAAGTTGTTGATCGAGCGCTACAAAGGAAGAAAAATTAATAATACGTTTGAAGAGTTGAAAGATGCTTAACAAACATGAGAGGTTGAGGAATAAATTGCCCTTATTGAAAAGGTTTGAACCAATACCTTAAGGTTAGCTAAAAGCTTGAATGATGTTTCAATTCTGGTCTTGGTGGATACTGGAGTATCATATCCCAAAATTCGCTCTACTTTTTTCAATTTTGTATGCCTTATTGCTCATCTCATCTGCATAATTCACATGCCCTAATCATCCGTCATAAGAGATTCATTTACAGTTGCGTCTTTCAAATAACATCCTTGATTCAAAGGTTTCTTGTTATTTAGGATACAAGGCACTAAATTATGATTTGCAGGCTTATGGTCATGATGGTTCATTTGGACATTTTGATTGTAGATGCAACAATTGACTATTGATCTTGGTTTTTTGAGTTAAGTTCTCAGGGAAACCCTAATCCTTGGTTTTTGTTGTTTGATCATTTTAGTTACACCATGTTCTTAAAATTTGTAGAGTCATTTTCAAGTATTGATTCTAATCCCTGATAGTTAACCATTAAGGAATAACTTTTGTTAGAAATTTTCTTTCTTATTTGGTGATCATCTTTGATTTTGTTGATTCATGGCATGATATGAGATCAAAAGCTTTCAAAATCAAGATCATATTCAAGTAGAAAATCATGTCTAAGATTCAAGATCATGGTGGAAAGGCATGTTACTTGCCCTACAATACACAATTCATCTAAAAGAAGATCATTTTCATTACAAGTCTTCAGATCATTCATTACAACATCCAAAACCAAGTTTACAAATCCATACAAAACTATACACTTTTTGGATTACAATTGGCCTTTGGTCAACTGTTGAGTATTTGCTCAAATAGTTGACCAAAATCAACTACTATTTCTAAACCCTAATTCCCACAATTTCTTCACGTCTTTCGACGACTTCAAACTTCTTCATGCCTTGGTGCTATGATTCCATGCCATGCCAACTTTGTTTGCCATGCCTTGATGATGCCATTTTCAAGCCAAGTTCACTCGACCAAATTAGGACTAGCTCTGCAGCAATACACAACAAGTCTTGATGCATCAAAACCAATTGACTAGTATTTGCATCCAATAACATTAACATCCTGCAAACACATCACTAACATTTCATCAACATTCCAATGTTGCCAATTCAAACAAATTCATGATTCACTAACTTAACCATCTAATGACTAACTAAGTACTTCTTACTAACAAACTGAACCTAACCAGTTCTCATTTAACAGCTAACTTCATTGACATTGTAAACACAATTAAGCCCCATACTTCACTAACTCATTGATTTTCTCATTGAAGTTCATACCAACAGTCACATGTAATCTAACTGTAATTGAAATTCTTTCTAAACTAACTACAACTAGCAAATAATCAATATTTTGCTGACTATACTGCACTGTATTGACTTCTAGCAGCAGAGGTTTAATTGAGATCAACAAATTACTTCATACCACCAATCCAGTTCAATTTCAAACAGTTTCCAAATACATGCACACTATAATTTTAACTTCATAACATGATCAACATGACTCACAACAGGACCAACTGGCATATTTCAGTTTCAAAATTCCAGAACAGTTCACAAAGTTTGCAGTTCACAAAGTTTTGCAACAACAATTCATTTGCTTTCCATTCTCACTATTAACAATTTAAACAAGTTTATAATTTCACTAATACTAATCAATCCAATAATTTAACTAACTTCACAATCAATTTTCATTTTCTTTACTAACAGTATCATGATTTCAAGATTACACTAACATTCAAAAAGTCTCAACAATCTAACAGAGCTACATTACTAACATCAAATGGTAACAACCACTAACTACTTTTATTCCAATCCATTGACATTTGAATCAAACCATTTCTAACACTACATAGCCCAATTTAAGCAGTTAATCCACATACTATTACAATATAGGCTTACTCGACTCAATCAGTGATTATAATAATCCAAAGCCTTGAAAATATCATTAACCAGGATATAATTCATTGGCAACTGGCATATTAATGTCACATGTGTTACTCATGTAGTTATTGAGTAAGGTATCAAATAGAAACACAAACAATAACTTCACAAAATCCACCAATACCCGCAAATGATTCAAACACAATTAATAATAATAATAATAATAATAATAAAAAAAAAAAAAATAATAATAATAATAATAATAATAATAATAATAATAATAATAATAATAATAATAATAATAATAATAATAATAATAATAATAATAATAATAATAATAATATGTTTGTGATTCTTCTAAATATTTTAAAATTTATTTTATAGTCCATCAAAATATATTTTTTTTAAAGGGTCATTCTAAAATTTCTTTAATATTAAAATTGTCGTTAAAATTATGGTTAATTCAATCATTAAATAAAAAGACCGTCGTTAATTTTGTCATTAAATTTTTTAAAAATTGCTAAAACAAAATTTGAAATTTAAAATACGTAGGAGTTCTACAACCATATTTACTCATTATTATTATTATTTATCATAAGTATGATGGAAATATGTATTTTTGATTTAATTGATTATTAATATATTGTATAACAATTTAGGCAAAAAATTTGGTGAACTAACTTATGCGATTATAATTTAATGTTTCTATGAATGTATCCAATATTTTTTCGATTTAAAGAGTGCTGTAAGCAAATGCTTCAAGCACACATTTAAAGAATTAAAAAAAAAGTTATTTGTTCAAAAAAAATAAATAATAAAATTTACAATGTATTGAATAAAAGGATTTTTTTTTAAAAAGTTATTTGTTAAAAAAATTAAAAGTGAATTGGCGATTCACATGTGGATCACTACTAATACTTTAGAACTCTTTTTATAACATTTAATTTCCAATCTAGGTTGTGCTAATGTTAGCTTGAGCTTACAAAAAGTCTAGTCTTGTAACAGCAAACTTATTCTTTTTATAAAATAAAAAAAGTTGATAAATCATTCATATCTCATTACCAAATTAATCATCATGGAAAGGAGCATATATTGGAATCGTGTCTTCTAATGAAACATATATTGGAATCATACCAACAATAGACAATCATGTACACACACAAAAACATGTTTTAATGAGTAGTGGTGCTAAAATATATCCACTTATGTCTTAGATCCAAACTTTGTTCAAAGATAGACAGCTTTTTAACACATTGCAAATTAACATCACTCAACATTGTGATGGTATTGACCTTTACCAACAACATTTACAGCACTACTCATCATCTTCCTCCCCATTAAGGTTTTCACAACGACAATCACAACTCTGCCTCTAGACCTCCACCCAAGTGCTAAACTTTGTATGTCACCTATTCCAGACCTCCATCAATTGAAAGTATGAACGTGCTTTCAAAGATTGTCATTGAAGAGCGAAGAGAGAAGGGATCGAGACAATTGTCATTAGGACTAACATGCTTTGAAATGTCATTATTTCCCGACTTTTCTATTATAAACGTATTCAAAACAAAATCTCTGTTAATTTAACAGCTGCCTACAATCTGAAAGTATATGCATAAGGTTAAAATGGTGATTAAAAAATTGAGATTTGTCATTGTTTAACCTTCATTGAAACACATACAAATTCAGCTATCCACAGCCAATCCAACCACCACCTTCATTGAACAATTTTGCTTAAGGTAGCAACACCTGCGCCAAATAATCAATCGGACATGTCATCTTCTGCTCCACTAGATTGAAAATTATCCTGGTGCTCTGCATCTCTATTGTCGTCGTCGAGATCGTCATCCATTTCTAGGCTCTTTGACGAATTGCCCTTTGAGCTTGCATAAACCTTGAAGGGGACACATATATATATATATAGGTAATTATTTCATGGATTCAAATAAAATGGCAAGATTATATATAAAATGGTTGCCATACCCCAGAATCTTTTCCTTCAATTGCAGCAACATTTGATCTTTTCCTCACAGTCACTCTAGAGGGAGCTGGAAATTGCTCAACCTCATCGCCTGATCTTCCCTCTGTGGCCCTCTTCTTTCTTAAAACAAGTTTAGTTGGAAGAGGCTGCAAATCAAAATACTATAAAATTAACACATTGATGCTGAATAGTTAAGAAACTGCATGCAAGTAGGAAAGCTGAGAAAGAAATAGACATTGGCTCCAGAAAATACCAAAAATCGAGCTTCTGAATCATCAAATGCAACTAAGAATGTTGTGGGATCATGTGCATCGTCGCCTCGAACCTGTTAAGGTGTGAAAAGAAAGTGTTAGCAAGGTGTTAAATGGGGAATTTCTTTAGCAGTTGATGACTAAGCAACGGAATTTTGAAAATATTCTGACATACATCCCAATGATACTCGCGAACCCAAGAATAAGAGACATCTTCATCTTCATCATATATATCCTTTGACAACTGCCATTACAAAGTTAATACATATCCAAATGTAAGTCGCAGTATTGTTCTCTTGAATAACTAGTTTTCCAAAAATTGGAACTCACAGTTCCATTTAATGTATACCTCTCCTGGTGTTGGGACCATGTATGCCAAAAATTTCTCAGGATTTTCAGGATCTGAGCTTGTTGCAACATAACTTTTCATAACTGCCTGTAGGCCACAAAGAATAGGTGTCACATTAACAACATTCAGCAGCAAGTACCATTGATAAAAAATGTAACCAGAAAAACAGTCACTTATTATATTTCACAAGTTGTTACATGCAAAACACATGCAGAACCATAAGAACACAAATCAAGTAAGAAACTAACTACCAAAATTGTATTCCAGTCATGGGAAGTACCAAACATGATTTTTTTTAATAAAACAAAGTTGTGTAATTTATCCAATCACTATACTGCCAAATAAACAAAGGTAGAGAGAATATTTCAGAAGTGAGACCATATATTAAGTCAAATAATAGAAACTAGTGCCAAAATACAAATTAACTGTCGAAACTGACTTTCATTAATGGCAGAATACGTTTACAACACACATGTAATTACAAACACTAGAGAATACATAATTCACACATAAACTAACCCAAGAAATTTGAGAGTCTTGGTCTCTCCCTCCAATAAATTCGAGAGTCTTGGTCTCTCCCTCCAAGAATTCGAGAGATTGGTCTCTCACTCCCAAAAACCATTCAAAAACTATCCCATAACTACTTTCTCTTTTCCTATATATTTATTCTAAAAAAGCAACATGCATAACCCATAACTGCTACACATAACTTACATCAATAAAAATAACTACCCATAGTAAGAAATCTATCATCAAACTACAAGAGTAAATTAACAAGATATGTAACGACTACATAGCTGCAAATGGTTATAGTCACAATACAATTCCTTTCCCGATCTATTGTACTATTTTCATATTTTTCTCAACATATCCTGGATTTTAAAAATCATGAAATAGTACAAAAAAGAATATTGAGTTACTGAAGAAGACTAAATGCATCATTGCTACAAAGCTTACCCTCGATTCAGAGATATCACAAAGAGATTTGTCCAACTTCCTGTACATTTCTGAATCAGCTGTTGGAGCATTATCAAATGCAGCAACAACAAACGGATTTTTATACCTGCAAAGCAGAACAATAGAAGACAACTTAATTAATATAAACAAATACATGAACGTTGTGAAGCAGTTTGCATTTTATATAGTATCAACAGATCAGGCTTTTCATACCACAAAGTACAACAAAAGGCTAATCAATAGAAGTAAAACACACCAGGGTAAGTAATAATTTGAATAATGAAAGACATATAATATGGAGCCATACCTTTTCGTATCAGGCACCAATGGCATGAACTCAACAGGATACAAATCTTTTTTAGTTGCATGAACAGGGCGTGACTTGGCTGCTTCAAATGATGCTTCAATTTCCCTAATTTGTCTTTCCCTAAAAGACAGAATACAATAATAATTAGACAATGTTAATTACTTCTGCAAAGTAATTAATCTGTCAAAAATTAACTTGGGATAAACAAGTTGGCATATACAAACCACCTGTTGTTAAGATTTTCCAAAAGATTGCGACCCCCCTTCCTCTCTCTCAGCTCCTTAGCTTGTTTTTCAGTCAAGGACTACAATAATACCTTTATAAGTTGTTGCTTGTAGAGATAGCAATGCATCCCTATATCAACATATATGCCTAATACCTGTTTGGCCGATTCCATGCTTAAAGGAGAAATATATTGTGTTTTAACAAGCCAAGCAACGCCTTTATCAGTAGGCCTCTCTTTTCTTTTAATACCATCTTTTTTCAAAGGAGTCACAGCTTCATCATCTCGCAATAAATCTTCATCTTCTGGAGCAAGAGGCGGGCGGACATTAGGAGGACTGTACAAAAGGGATCATCAGACCTTCCCATTCAGCGTTATTCATTGATGTATATGTATTCAAATTTATTAAAGGAACTGAGGATAATACTTGTAAACACTGAGATCAAGCAGGTCCAGAGGTATCCCAAGATCAGGCTCCACAAAAAGTTTGGGTTTGTACGTTTTCTCCAGAGACGTGATTGTATATTTTGCATATCTGAACAATCATACAGTTGTTTATAAGAAGCGCATACAAATACAAGTCTAGAAACTTAATTCCAAAAGAATCATCAAAATAATGCGTTACAATAATGCTGATTAGTGCATCACATGTAGCCATAAAGCTTCAAAATTCAGAAATATCAGTTCCACACACAATTTTGACATCTTAAAGAGATGTCCATTTGAAAAACAATCTCTTTTACAGCCCCGTATAGTTTTCCCTTGTCTCTGTTAACTAAATGATTTAAGTGTGTGTATCCACCCCCTTCCCCGCCCCCAAAATAGAACACTGTGAATAAATGCAAGAAGTGATGGTTTGTTAACACAAAAAGACTAACTTGTGTGACATTTCAATCAGACAGTCACAAATTACTTTCCTCAGGGAATGTGTCATCAAATACCAAATTTATACATCCTAGCTAGAGATTCCCCCATCAAGAGTCGACCATAATATATTACTCAGATTTCTTGTTCAGGTATCAGTTATCCTCTTTAACTCCCCCGCCCTCTCGAACACTCATCACTGACCAGTTACCATTGGAATGAAAATAAAACTTTTGTTATTAAAGTGGCAAAAAATATGATAAAATTCAAATTCAACATCCCATCAATCAAATAGATAGGTTGTGGTAGCTACATACTAATGGTAAACACGAGAATGAGATAACATACTGATCTTTATCTTTCTTGAATGCCATTAACTTAGGTTGTGCAGTTGGATCCGGAAGCTCATTTCGAAATCTTCAACAAGAATACACATAAAAATTTGTCAGCAATGGAAGCAAACGCCATTAGATGAAATAATACATGATACATCATCAATTAATAACATTACACCACTTTTCTGCCTTGTGAATCATTACTATTACAACAACAACAAATAAATCTTATCCCACTAAGTGAGGTTCTTTTGACACTGTACTCGAGTAATCTACTTTTAGGCATGGATGTCATTACAATTACAAGCACCAAGAAAAAGTAAAATTATTTGGGAGAAAATAATAGTACAATTAAGATTAAAGAAAACACAATTTGACACCAGACATCAAAAGCAATAAAACCATGAGCAGTGTTCATACAAAAAAAAAGACCATCAACTAAAAAATTTGATCTGAATCTAAAGGAACTGGATCAGATTATAGAGAAAGAGTAACCCAATTAACTAACTAACTAACTAAGGGTGACATATCTTAGAAATACTGACCTGAGCTTACACAAAAAAGTGGTCGGCTTCTTCAATCTATTTTCAACCCTCTCGCTGCTCAACAAGGGAGTAGTTCTCCTCTCTCCCATTCGAGACCCCGCAATAGAACCATGCACCTTTCCAGTCCCCCCAGATGACGCCATCTGAGTCTTCTGCAGAACACTATTCTGTGATTCCTTCAACTTCTTCTGCTGCCTATGTTTTTCATCTTGCCTTTGTTTCTCAAACTCCCTCTTCTTCCTCATCCTCTTCTCTTCATCCGTCTCAACCTTCCTTGGAGGATGCGGATGAGAAGACTTTTGCTGCTGTCTATGTGAAACTCCGTCACGCCTGCCAGATGACCCTTTGTTGATTGCTCTTTCATCGTTGTTATGAGAAAGGGGAGGCGGGGAGGTTGGAGGAGGAGGAGGAGGTGGAGGTGGCATGGAAGAACCCGGTGACAAAGGAGGAGGCGGAGGTGGTGGTTGTTGATGATTATATTGATTGTTAGAAGGATAATACATAGGAGCTGACGGTGGTGGCGGCGGTGGCTGATATGAATTATCAGGAGGCGGAGGTGGTGGTGGTGGATATGGATAGTAATTTGAAGGTGGTGGAGGTGGAGGAGCATGATGATGGTGATGATGTTGATAATTTGAATTAGGAGGTATTTGAGGGAATGAAGTAGACGAATCACCACCACCACTGTAACCGTAACCACCCCAATTATTATTACCACCTCTCGGATGCAGTGGTGGTTGTGGTGGTTGTGCGATAGGGTTTTGACTCGCCGGCGGAGGAGGGAAAGGCCTATAAGAGGCCATTCCTAATTAATATTAAAATAAAATTTAAAAATCAATAAAACTAGGGTTATCTTCTTCTTCAACTACGTTCTTAATTTGAAGGTTCAAAACACGTAAACCCTAGAATTTAAAATTACTGAATCATAATAGGGTTACCGTTTCCGATTGAAGTGAAGCAGGTTCAAAATGCGAATATACGTATACGAATAAGTTGAAATAGATCGAAATCGGAAGAAGAAAAATGGAGTAGTAGATTCAGAATGTATAGGTAGAAGAGAAAGAAGAGAGTGAGTGAAATTGTTCAGGTGGCGGATTCAGCTTACGCTTTCGTTCCTTACAGGGTTACATTTAGGGAAAAAGCTTCCACGGTAATTTTCACTATCACAAAACAGATAATAATTTATTATTATTATTATTATTATTTTATTATTATTGTTGTTGTTAAATTTCTATCACCATTTAGCATTAGCTAATCTCCACCAAATATGGGAGACAGAGTATAGACTCTTGCCTCTCATTTAAAACATTAATACACATAAAGTTCAAATTTAGAGTCAAATTTTTTTTAATATATGCAAAATAATTTAAAATTTATAAAATAACAGTTTACTATTTCTATCAAATTATTATAACATAAAAGTTAGTTACTAATATGTTTTTTCTCCAAATCAAAGTAACTATAAGAGTGCTAAAAATAATTAAGTTTTTTATTTTGAAATTTTTAAAAATTAAAATTAAGTTTTTTTAATTTTATATTTTTAAAAATAAAAATTAATTCTAATTTTTAATTGTGAATTTTTCAAAATCCATAATCAATTTCTATAAATATAAAAATGTTATTTAATATAAACACATCTTAATTCAAACTATTCATAATATTAGGAATGTAAAATAATTAAAATATTATGAAATATATAATTTATTTGTTTAACATTAATTTTAATAATAATGATTTAAAATGGTGGGTGTCAATGAATGAATGCATTGAATGCATATCATAGTGATGATTATTAGTCGTTAGAGTGATGGTAGTCAGTGGTACTAAGTGGTAATTGGTGGATATGATCATTTGTGGTTTATGGTGGTGGTTATAGTTGTGGAGAATAACAAATATGAGTAGTATGAGAAAATTTTACATTGGTTAGAAATGTAGATATTTGAACATTTATAAATGCGAGAATTTACACACATATTTAGGGAAGACACTTTAGAGGTTTTAATGTGCACCTAAGATTAGTTCCGAAAAGAAATACAAGGTGATATAATTTATATTAAATTAATCTCTATTTATCATTGTTATAACCATAATTATTTTTTAATGTATTTTAGCTATTTATTTATTAGGCTTAAGTTATTTAAAGACACTCGCTTCATTCGAATGTGTTGATGAGGATATGGGGGATGACGATGATGAGGTAATGTAAATATTATTGTTGGCTAATTTCAAGTCTTAAAATTATTTGTACTTGTAGATGTGATTACGTGTTTAATTTTTGTAGGAAAAAGAAAGTAAAGCATGATTGTGGAATAGTGTTGAAGACCTATCATGAAAAGTCAGAAAGATGGAGATGATACCATGATTTTCTTTGATAATTTCTTTATGTTTTGATTTATTTAGATTAACTTTGTTTAAAGTAACTTCAGATATAACTTTTATTGGGTGATTGCTTTAATATTTTGGATTCTCATCCAATTCTATTTTGCTATTTATTGTGGGACATTTATTAGTATTTTCTTTTGGATATTTGACAATTCCAACTTGCTATTTTTTCTACGCATTATGAGATTATGCATGATAGTAAGAAAAACAATTAGCAACTACAATTGCTTTTACATTTTTTGTTATTGATGCAATATATTTTTTTTAAATAATTAATATACAAAATATATGTTTTAAAAAAACAATGAAATGCTAATCTCACAATTTTGATCAGAAAAAATATTTTTAAAAAAATTAAGATTTGAAATTTGTGGATACCGTTAGGATCCGTGGGGATGGGGATGGGGAAAAATATTCCCCTATGGCGGGGATCGGGCATGGAGATAAGGAAAAAATTAGGGGGCGGGCGGGAAACAAGGAAGCATTCTCCGTACATTCCCTGCCACGTTGACACCCCTAGTGGTATGTCTCTCACAAGGTGTGTTGCTCATAAAAGAAAAGTCTCCAAAGTAAAAACGTTCCATCGTATTGACCCCTCGAATCAACTCCAACAATAGTGGTAGTTAGTGACGGTGACTAGTGGATGAAGTGGTCAAACAATGGTTCGAGTGATGTTCGACGATGGTTAACGATGGTAATAATGGCAGTTGGCAATAATTATAGTAGTGGTTGATGTGACTAAATTGGTGGTTGGCGGTGATCACATTCGAGATCATAAGTGATTTAAGTCGTGGTTTAAAGTGATTCTAATGGTTAGAATAATGATCAGAGGTGTTTGATAGTTGTGAGAGGTGTTTGGTGGTGGCTAGAGGCAGAGTCGTCTCAAACTTTTAGGAGATCCTGTGTAAAAAATTGAAGTTACCTTCACTTAAGTGGTGAAATTTTTCTAAGAGACCCTATTTAACCGTAAAATAGTTGTGGAATATGTGTATAAAGGCCCTTTTTCCATAGATTAATCAATAAACAAAAAGTGAGGTCCTATGTTGTAGGCCTCCTTGCACACCCTCAAAGACGGCCCTGACTAAAGGTGGTCGATATGGTATTCATAATAGTGATTGAAATAGTGATCGACAACCATTGATGGGAGTGTCTTAACTTTAAAATGAAAACTTTAAAATCTTTTTTGTTATATTAAGTTTCAATATTAAAAAAACTATTTTGAAATAGATTAAAATACCAAATCAACTATATTTTTGTTGAAACAAATTTAGTTTTAAATTTTACTTTCAAAATTAAAATTTTTAAAAAAAAAATTATCACCATTGAATGAGCCCTAAATAACCATAATATTTTTTTTATACAAAGGTGAACAAAAAACCATTTTGAATGTAATAATGCATTACATAGTCTAACCCTAGTCAAAAAGGGTGCGGTAAATATATTTGTATACTTAAAGTTGTTTTACTTGTTGTTTTTCATACTTTAACCTTTACATTATATACTTCTTTTTTAAAATTTATCACAACTTTGTATTATTTTTCATTCTTTCACGTTATCTTATATCACACTTTTCATCACTTTTCAAAAATCAGACATGTATTCCTTTTTTGCACTTTTTTTATTTGCTTAATACTTTCATGTATTCATCTATCCAGTGTAGATTATAGTTTACATTTTATTTGATGTTATAAATTGTTATCTCATTAATTTCTCTTTGCATTTGTTGTTTTATGTAGAAAAAAATTGTCTTCGATACTATGTTCATATCTTTAGTCTATCTTTGCATTTTATGTTGAATCCTTTTATTTGCAATTGCATTCTTTAAAGAGCTCTAATTGCTAACTCCTTTATTCTTTATTTCTCTTTGTATTATATTATTTACTGCATTTTTTCTTTATATGGTTTATAGATATTAGGCGAACTTTGAAAAATCCGTAAAAAAGATTTTGATTCCATCTTTAACATTTCAAAATTTTGTTCTTTTCGTCATTCATTAAACCAAGTCAGTAAAGTTTTTGACATCACATGTACATGTTGTAAATTTTAACCATTTTTCATTTGAAATTCAATACATGTGGCATTTCCTCATGGTTAAAATGTAATTCTTTGACCATCAATTTCTACTAGGACCCTTAGTCTGTTCATATTCTTTTTCCCTTTTTGCCATTGGAGTCGTTGAAGTTTCTTTCTCTTATCTATTCTATCTTCGTGTCCATATATGGGTTACTCTTGGTCCTGCATTTGTTATGAAAATGGCAACAAACTTAAACTCAAACAAGCGTTCAAATGGAATAATCACTCTCATATATAGAATGATCTTTTTATGAAGTTGTTTGTTTCAAAGTCTATTGCAAACTCAAGGAAAAAATACTGCAAGTGCAAGTATTAGAGGGTAAGATCTCTAATTCATTTTCTTCTCTATATTTTATACACAATTATCTTCTCCAATCTGTAATATTAAATTGCTTGTGCAAAAAGAGGAAGACTGTGAGTTATTTCACTAAGATGATGAGTATTTTTGTTTAACTGAAAGGAAAAAAAAACTCCAAAAGATGATGATGGATGAAATAAGTGTGACATGATGATAGAGTAATTGAGGAAATTTGATAAGGATCTCGGAAAAGAATTTTTAAAATAATATGAGACTCAAATATGTTCAAAAGAGATTGAAGAGGTGAAGAAAAAGGTTAAGAGTCTAAGGAAGAATATGAAGTTTTTAATAGAAATAGTTATTTGTTTGTGAATTTACTTTGTTATATTCTATGGCAATATAACTAACTTGATGTAATAATGAAAATTGTTAATGTAACTTACTTTCGAATTAATGAAAGTTGATAGCTCTGTTATAAAAAATATGACCGTTAGTATAACATTGTGCATTATGCAGTTTGATTTGTAGTAATTAATCTATAATCTTTGACAATAAATATATAATCACACACATTAGGTTTGTTGCGGTTATTATAAGCTTTTAATTTGTAATTTGACCGATAGTATAACCATGGTCGTCTCGAATAATTAGGAGGCTCTGTTCTAATAAAATTACGCTGGTATTAAAACGTATAAAAACTATTTTAAAAATTGTTATTTATTTAAATTATAAATGACACTAAAATGTAACTATTAATCTCTCTTTTTTTAATTTTTAAATATAGTATAACTTTATAAATAATTTTATAATTTCTTTTATAAAATTAATTATATTTTTTTAACTTATATCATATAGTGAATACATGGTATAATATAAAACTAGAGGAATATTTCATAACTCTTGTTATAATATTTTCAAGGAAATATTAAACACTTATTAATTTATATAATTGAATTTATTTATTTATGTATATTTCAAAGACAAACGTAATGTAATTTAAAACCAACATTGAAAATTTAGCATATTCAAAACAATAAACAATAGTAAAAT